CCGCTGGGCGCCGTGGCGCCCCGCCGGTTTCAGAGTCCTCTCCTCCTCAGGGCGTTTCGAAGCCCGCCACGCGGTATCCCGTTTGGTTGGTTATCACGCTCCCGTTCTGCCCCTGCGGCGGCTGCACGCCGTAGTTGGCGCCCATCCACGCCGCCGAAGACTGCGTCTGACTGTCGGGGAAACGGAGGGGAAAGGGTTCGTTAGGAAAATGTGTCAGTAACGAGGGAGAATTTAACGGGGAACGGGGGTGTCCGAGATGGTCACTCGCCGAGCCCTGGATCCGTACACGCGTTCCTCATCCCAAGTCTCCAAAAAACGAAGGAGCAGAACGTCTCGGCGGCTTTTATGCTGCTACCGACTCGCATTGTCGCCTCCCCCGGGGAAAAAAAAAAGGCCAAAAAACCCCCCAAAATACTCACTTAAAGCCCTGCTGATTCCACGCTTGCCCGTACATCCCGTAGGCGGGGACCTGCCAGCCGTTGGGCACGTACTGACCAATCTGGGCGTTGCCGTACCACTGGCCCCCACGCCCGTACGCCGGCCATCTGGTTCTGCGAAGGGCAAACACCCGGGCGTTAAGCGGCGGCCCGAGAAAGCGGCAATTTAGGTCAACTTGCCCGGCGAGCCCGTCTCCGAGGCGGGCTTACGAGTCCGCTCGCTAAAATGACACCGAAAACGGCCGTGCGGACGTTCAGCCGGGCACCCCTCCTCAGGTTTACTTACTCGAGCGCCTCGTCACCCCCTCCCCAAATCACCAACGCGGTCACCGACTCGGATACCACAGAGACCCAGGGAACAGGAGCGCCAGCTCCGGCTGCCTTCGCGCTGCAGAAGACGCACCACGGGCCGGAAGGTATCTGGCGAGCTTTCTCCCAAATTTTACAGCACGCGTTTTTACGTAACGAAGAATCGGCAGGTTCCAAGGGATTTAAAAAATCTTTGGATTGTACTTCAGACAAACACGCTCCGACGAAATCAGCTGGAACGCAGGCAATGCGTGCGACGCCAAGTCTCTAACCGGCATGCGCCCGGACTTTACGGCCGCTTAACGGCTTTCCAGCCAAGACTACCGAGCAAAGCCATCGTCTTTAGCAGAGAAGTTCTGACCTGCTGGACCGGACTGATCATGTCTGGCGTCTCCTTGCCCCAGTAGCACTTCACTACGTGTCCTTCGATAGTTGTGCCGTTGACGGAAACGATCGCGTGTGCGGCGCTCTCGTGAGAGTTAAACCTGTCAGAAGAGGAGCCGTGGCGAGATGAACGACTCGCTCGGCAAGTGACAGCCAGAAGTAACCCCCCCCACGAGCTCGGGACAGATTTGGGCCCCGTTACAACACCCAACTTTCTCCTGTCCCCCCCGCTGCAGCGGGCGGCAGGGACTGCCAGCCTACGGTCGCTTCTCCCATCTCGGTGTTGTAACTCTCCCTCTAAAGGAATCAGAAGATTCAGCGGCAAGGAGAGCGAGTCAATTTACAATTAGGTTTTGTTCTCTGGAGCCTCGTCCACAAAGCGATGAGGACGCTTCTGGAAACACCCCTGAACCATGACTGTGCCTCAGCGACTCCACCACGGAACGACCCGAGAGGAACGGGTGGAGATCTCTTACGATGGAGGGCACGGCACCACTTTAGACCGGGTTAAGGGTTTTTTCCTCCTCGCGCCGAGCGCGCTACGAGCCGTTACTCGCTGCTCGGCTCAGGCTGCGGGCGCAGCGGGCTGCTGGAAAGCAAGCCCTCCCGTTCGGCGCCCACCTGCCCGCCCCAACAGCACGCGAGCCTGGAATTCTCATGAAATTCGTCACCAGGCAAACTGCGCGACAGCTTACCGTACAAAGGAGTAGCCTTTATCCGGGAAGACTCGAATTTCCATTATCTGCCCGAAGGGAGAAAAGGTCTGGCGCATGAGCTGTTCTGAAGCGGGAAGAAAGAAGAGGGTCAGAACGGGGCGACCGCCGCGTTATTCGGAGACATTCGGCACGAGGGTAGTTTGAAGCCACGATACCTGTCAGTCCCGAAGTAACGCCTCCGCAGTACACAGTGCAGTTGCTCGGGCTGGACTGATTGACCACGTCGTCGTAAGACAGTTGTTTGGCGTTTGCTTAAAGAGATTTTACAGAGCTGTTCAGTGGCTCAGACACACATGGGGTAGAAATTCTAATCCCGATCGGCACGAGACGTCGAGCGCAAACTGCAGACGCCTATCGAGTAGGTCCGATAACGCCTAATTTAACAGCTCTCCAACAGCAACGCCCTCTTTGACACGGTCCCGCTTTGTATCGCGACAGAAAGGCCTAAAAGCGAGGGAGCAAAGTTAAAAAGCCAGAGTCGTCCTGGCTGCCTAGAGAGAAAGCCAGATGCCAAGCGGAGCGTGCGGAAGGCGAGCAAGTCCCCCCTCCCATAGCGTAATGGAGTCGCCGTAGCTAAGGGAGGTGCTTTACTGAGGAGGTTCGAAACCCTTCACGAGCGCCTTCGCTTTCAGCGCCCGCTCTCCCTCCTCCCACGATCTCCGAGGCTTGCAGCTCGCCCTTTTCCGCCTTACGGGTGTGGCGGGAGGTTTGCAAAGACGCAAATAACCGGGAACCTACATTCGTATGTACTCTTTGGAGCCGGAGGTTTTCTCGTCGCCCAGTTCGTTCTGATTTGCCTTCCACCGAGCCACTGACCACCCATCTGCTGAATCGCATTCTCTGCGTCCTGTCCACCAGAGAGGGAGAGAAGAAAAACCCGCCGTCGGCGTCTCTTCCTTTCGCGAGAGCGCCGAAGGAACGACATTGCCGCGCGCCCGACGCTTGCGACGCACCAAAAGAAACCCTGCTGCAAAAGAGGTGGGTTTAGGCAGGACGAGGGACGCCGTCCAGCCCCACCGAGCGCACCTAAGACCCCCCTCGAGCTACACCAGACGCGACATCGCTCTCTGTCGCGCCCGTCCGCCGCTCGTTCGGACGTCATGCTCGCTAAAGCCACAGGAGAGCGTCTCAAGAAACAGAGAGCGAAGCTTCTCCCTCGACAGGCAGGGGAACCGAAGCCGGACAGAGGTCGGGAGCGCTACGGGGTCCTTCCCCGTAGCGGGCGCCGAAAACCGTCGTCGAGCTTTTCAGGGGCGCTCGAGGCCGTGCCGCAGCTTACCCATTTATTGAAGAAGGAAACGAAGCCGTATCCTTTAGATTTTCCCGTCGCCATGTCCTTAACCACACGCGCGTCTCTAAAAAGCAGAAACGAGAGCCAGTTTAGCGCCTTCGAAAGGCGACCATCCCGAAACGACAACTCGAGTCACACGTACAGCTTATGTTCACGTTTCACCTTCACTAACGTCAACTGTTTATTGCACCAGCAACACAGTCAAAGCAAAAGGCTTCTCTTCTAAACAGAACTTTACTAATGCTTTGCCAGGTAGTAGCAAAATTAAACTTAATCGTGTAAACATGCAAATCAATAGCTTCTCTAACAAACGTATGTACTTTACGGCAGTTGGCTCCCGCTTCAAAATGCTTTTACAGACTGTTAAGACACAAAGCATGGTCAAAGCAGCTATTCAAAAGAATCACTTAAGGCACGTAGCTGACTAACATTAGCTGAATGGCTCTCTTTAACCGTGCAATTTTTAAACTTGCTATTTGCCAACACATTCTACCTACTCATTCAAACTATTAAATAGAAAAAATGAAAAAAAGATAGGAATTAAAAGGCATACGTCGCCTGTTAACCGAATTCTTTAATTTTCTCGGGTCAATTCGTTACCCCCTTTTTGGACTGTGGGCAGCTGTAAATTTTGAGAGATTGACATTTTCAGAAATTATTGAAGAAAATAAAACACCGAAACATTCACGTCTTAAACTACACATTACACATCATTTAAACTGCATTTGTACAACAGCAATCATACAGGACTGATTGGAAACTACAAGATATAAAAAAAGCAGGAAAAGAAAAAAAAAAGTTTATAAAAGTAAATAAGAAAACTACAACGTTTGTCCACTGTGAACTGTAGCTTGTAGTTAGCCATGGCAATTCTGTCCATTCTTCAGAGACACTCTGCAAAATAACCAGAGCCCTATTATTTGAGATTGAGTTAAAAATGAGAACCCAGCTACAAGAGCTAAAACCCCACTCGTGGAACGCCGTTCTACAGCGTTTCTCAGGCAATTTGTGTAGGAGGGTCGAGATGCTCTCGCGTCCGGGCCACCCTCTCCTCCCCTCCTTCGCCCCACACATACAGGCATGAAAAGAACAGAAACGACAACATAAAACCAGTCAGAAAGTCATGCAATGTAACTTACGGCTGTATAAAATAATAGGGGTTCAGAGAAACTAGCGTTAACATGTGCACAACATTTAGCATTCCGAGACTGGCGAGAAAAGTCACAATGAAGAGAAGGTTCGTTACACCAGCGGGGTGGTTTTTTTTTTTTGTTTTTAAGCCTTACAGTAATCGCGAATGCTGCATCGTTAAGCCTAATCCCGGCACACGTCAGCCCGTAGCGCCGACGCCATCGCCGAAGGCCCGAGGAAAATACCTCTCCCAACGCTACGGTAAGAAATGTTATTTCTTCCCTCTTTGTGAGACCCCCACCCCGCTTCCCCCTTCTTTCTTTCCCCCTTTCCTGGGTTAGGCCAGAATTTGGGTGGTGTGTTACAAATTGCCTGAGAAGAGCCGCTTTGGTAAGCTTAGATCGGTTTGCTCTGAAGAGCCTACAGAGGGAGGATGGGGGGAAACTCATCTCTACTTACCCTCAACTGAAAACTTTGAAAATAAAGACTTGAGAACAAGTGAAAACATGCGTACAGCAAGCATAAAAGGAAACCACAATGAAAGTGTGCTTTTACAGTGATTAAAAAAATCCAGATGCAAAGAATTACCAAAATTTCTTATGCGCTAATCATGCAGTACTTCAACCTCGGTGTCAGAGAAAAAAAAAAAAAAAAAAGCTCAGTTTAGCACCAACGAAGACAATGTTTAAAAAAAGGGGGGGGGAAAAAAAAAATTCAGGAGATATTCCATTAGCACCACATTTCCCGAAACTAGTCACTGATGGAAGAACAAGTAAAGTCAAGTAACTTCATTCGACTTAAGAGACAGCAGCAATATTTTTCCAGGTTAAATTGAAACAAGGAGAAAATTGAGGTCCCTTTGGCTTTATTTAACCCCTTGGGTGTGGAGCAGGAGTTCAAAAGAGTCATTACAGGGACAATTCTCACTACTACTTTTGTGCGAGGAAAAGAACTGAGTTTCGTTTTGGACAGTCAGTTTGAGCCAGGGCAGACCGCGGCTTTTCCATGCGTTAGCTCTCCAGCTGTGCGCCGAGTACCCCAAAAGCAAGAGCAGTGCTCCCCGCTTCCCCATCACCAGCACCACGCAGCAACAGCTCTGCGTCCAAAAAACTCTTCTAGAAAAGATGGGACAATGAGCGTGGCCCCAGAAATACGGACCGCGGACCGACCTTCACTGTGATTTTATACTCCCCCAGCTTTTTTTTTTTTTTTTTGCTTCAGGCTCAGGAGGGCTTTTGCTTTTTTGGGGAGGGGGGGTGTTTGTTAAAGGCGACCATCCATCGAACTGTCGCCTCGGAACCCCAGCGCTGACTCAGCGAGGGGAAACCCCCCGCCACGGCTCCGCCGGGGTCCCACCATCGCGGCCGTCTATCCCTGCCTCCCTTTCGCGCTCGCTCCAGCGGATCAGATCGACTTTAGAGTCCCTCGTCCCTTCCGTCCAGACCGCATTCGGCCAGAGGATAAATTGACTCTCCTTAGGAGTCCGACCCTCTGCGTTTCCTAGATGACAGTTACAAAAGATGCAGTCAAGCATTATAATTGTCTGAAGCAAGTCACATTCGGGTCACATTTATGGTTTGGTGTGTTTTGTTTTTTTTTTTTTTAACCTTATCATAAGAGGAAATCAAGCTGGCATTAAAAGAGTAATACACTGGACTCTGAGGGGGAAAAAAAAACAAACAAAAAACAAACTTACTTCAATTAAACGCTTCACTACCCAACACTCCAAAGCACTCTATGTTCTCTTACATCACCATCAAGAAACTTCAATGTCCAGTACAGACAACACTACAAGGAAAATTAATGGTTTACATTTGGAGGATGGAATGAACGAACCGCTCCTTACTCTGCTACACCCTGAACGCAACGCACTGGCAGGTGGAGACCTGCGAGCACCGTTCCCCCACTTGTACCGCGTTTGCTTGTTACACCGTCGCTCTGCACCGCTGCGATGAGCGCAGCTCCTTGACCCGAGACGCCCCGTGCTTTTGGCCGAGCCCTTCGGGTCAAGGGCTTACGCTGACCCAGCGCCAAACGCCTCGAGGCCGCTCTAGCTGCAGCCTCCGGGTGCCCCAACCAGTCTCGTGCTAAAAAAAGGTGCGTTTTGTGGGAAATTGCAAATTTAGCTGCAAAAAACACATTGGCTACCGGTGGCCGGCACACCACGGCTAACAAAAAAACCAAAAAAAAAATCCAAAGCCTCACAAGACGTGAACGTGCAAACGGACTCGGTCACAAACTGTACAGTGGGACGGTGATCTGATCGCTGAGAGGGCCAGTGAAATGCAAACCCCGGGTTTAGGAGTCAATTTTTTCCAGCATTGCTTTGCCAAATGAGGCAAAACCAAGGCAAATTGGCTGCAACTTTTCTAGGAGAGCAGAATAAACTACTGCCAAGGAATCGGGCTGCGCATCCCCGCTTAACGCCCGACCGTTCGGACTCAGGTCGCTGTATGAACAGATGAAGGTATATTCCTGCACTGCGACAACTCTCATTTTTTTACTTACTGAAACATAAGGCTGCCTCCATTTAGGAGAGATAACTTTTTAGTTTATTTGCCCTAGGAAATTACTTACGATATTCTTCCAAATGGCGCAAAAGCTGCTTTTATGTCTTCAGTTGTAATTTCTGGACTGAGGTCTCCGACAAAGACATGGAAATGGTCTTTTTGGGAAAAAGAGAAGAAAAGGATCTTAATGTCTGAAGACGACCCCCTGAACGCGCGCGCGCGCACAGAGCATAGCAATCGCACACAGCACGGCTTTCCAGCTATTATTAAAAACTACACGAAGGCTGGAGTTTACTATGAAACAGAATTTACTGCTGTCCGTAACAGATCCTTCACCTGGCAGCGCGACAGAGTCAGTGATTTCAAGGATACTACGGTGACATACGGCATTTACGTTTTGTACTTTATAAACCACTTTTAAGACCAGTCAGCATTTACAAAGTCTTAAACTATTTACTGAATGCGCCGAGACTATGCCAAAACCTTTCTCTCCGTACGCCAGCGTTAAGCTTCGACATGGCAGGAGATCGCTAGCTATTCCAAATCTGATCAATCAAATAGATTCAGGATCACGCTCATCTAGAGCAGGACGTGTTTGGAACCTAGCCACGATGCCTGGTGTAACACCGTCGGCTGTGAAGAACAAACCAAAAAAATTCCTCGCGTGGCAGCAGTTTGCTGTTAAAGCATCTGAGTTGGCGAAAGTTTTGGTTGCCCAGCCAATCCACCACGTGAATCCATGTGAATTCAGCGTGCGTGAATCCGCGTGCAAGTGAACTAAGACTGAAGGCAACAGAATGGGAACTCTAATCCTTTCAATTTGTAGCAGAGCCATAAAAACCACGCACCAAAGAGAAACAAAAGTCCTGCATCTACGGAGTTCTCCCCTACAATCAAACGGTACGGCACGTACCATCCTAGCAATGTACAGGCTTATTTGTGCTATGGCAGGTAGGAAACGCTCGGGCCCACTCGGACACTGACGTAGTTTAGCCCCACTGGCCTGCAGAAATTCAAAGCAGCAATCCGTAGGCTTGCCGCGAGCGACGGAGCCCGGTTTTGGAAACGGTCTAGATACTCCCAAGGAGCCTGTCTGCAGGAGCGCACGCCGCAGCCTCGCAGGGAGCCAACTAGGCTGCCTTGACAGCAGGGGACAAGGGGGTTTTGTTTTTCTTTTTTTTCTTCCTACAGCTGCACTCAGGTCAAACAGCTGGAGATTAGCGCCAGAACTAAACAGCGGACGCTAGATCACTTTCTGATGCTACAGGGAAACAAAAGGGAAGTCTTTCCATAAAAAATAAATTCGTAACGAACGAAAACCCCATACATAGCTTCAGGTGGTTAGTGAGTACCCTTGAGAGATTTCATTTTATGTTTAAGAAGATACAATTACCTTGTGAACGCTGTGTGTTGACAACGGTACTACCTGATGACAAAGATTAGATTTGTTCTTAAGTTTATTAACACAAACACATGGAATAATATCTTAGGATTACGATCAAAACGTTACTGCATGTAATTGTACGATGCTTACTGTTTATGTTTAAAAACTACTCGTACAAATCAAACACGTACTCAAAGCATAAGGGACACTTACTGCTGGTATCTTTCTTCTGGCTGCTGGGGGTCGTCGCCCAGTTCACTTTGACCTCCTGCAAACGTCAGTCGCTCACGTTAGATCAAGCAAAGCCCAGCTAAGCTCAGGTACCTCCAGCACTTAATTCTGACGCTACAGGGGCACCAGATGTGGGAGTTTGGGGTGAAAGCTCAAGTTTAAGACGCATTTCTGGGGAGAGGGTCCCTTCTTCTAAACCGTGGTCCGCTGGGTAAGAGCAAAGACGGCAAACAGACCTGGTCTGGGAGTTTGGTTTGGTTTGGTTGGGTGGGTTTTTTGGTTTTTTTTTCTGCAGGGGTCAGGGGAGAGATAATAAGAGGATAACCTTATCCTGTTAAGGTCGGCAGAGGTAAAACATTCCTTCCGCCCGCTGTCTCTGAGCCCTCCCCAGTTCTACATCCCCACTTCCCTCTGCGTTCTTCCTACAACAGTCAAAACAGCTCCTCTTGTTAGTCGGGTCACGTTAAGACCTCCGTCCAAACGGAGTGCCTAACGTTCGCAGCGTATGCGCTTCGTCTCAGGTGATATTTCACCCACGGATATTTCACCCACACCGCCTGAGATAGGCTGGTTTTCAACTCCAACTCACCCTGTAGACACGACAGCTTACCTTACCCATTATCTTCCGGCCATTCATAGCAGCCAGTGCTGCAGCCGCGTGCCGGTGCTCATAGAACTCCACAAAACAGTACGGATCGTTTCCAGCTGTCTGATAAAAGAAACAAACAAAGGATTACCGATACGCACCTCTTCAAACCGCACCCTTGCTATTAGACTCGGCTCCTCATTCGTCCTGCCTAAACGTCTCGAAATGGATAGGCTTTTTTACTCTACGCCGAGACCGCAGTCAATGCGCTAACGACGCTCCGGGACGTTTCAGTTCCGCCTTAGAAAGGTAAAAGCATGGCAAGGAAGAACTTTTCTCATCTCAACACCCACGTACATTAACCTGGTCCACTCCCTCTCACAATATGTGCCCATCCTTAAATTTCACGTCAGGTATGAGGCAGAAACGATGCCAAAACTCCGTGACCGTGTTCTCCAGCCTTATTACGCCCCTTTAACGCGGTCATGCCCTGTTTCCAGTGGAATTCTGAAACACGCAAGTACGGCCCAAAGCCGTTAGCTACGAGAAACACGAAAATCATCGGCTCTTACATCCATTATCATTTTGCAGTTTTTGCATGGTCCGATCTGGCTGAACAGCTGGAGGATCAGAGCTTCGGTCACGTCTCTTGACAGGTTCCCCACGTATCTATAGGATCAAATAAAAAGTTAGAATCCGTCCTGACGCTCCAGGCTGCTCATCAGTAACTGAGCAAACGCGGCCCAAAGTTGTTCCCCCAACACCCAACCCGCCAGGTTAGGCCGTCGAAATGAAGCGTGCGGCAAGACTTGTGGACTGACGGCGTGGAAATTGTTCGGTGACGGCGGGCAGTAACAGCACCTGTCCTCAGTCCCACCAAAGGTCCGTGTTCCTAAAACCTCACCCCGGTTCGATGCTGAACACAAGGTCAGATACGGACAACTCCACCTACCAAATGGATTTCCATGTACAGAAACGGCAGTGACGATAACCGTACGCAGGCATCGTTCACCGAGCGCCATCTCCCTAGCTCCTCTAGTAGCTCAATCTGGTGTTTAGCAAGCACATTGCACAATATTTAGTCAGTTCCTTTTAAAAAAGGACTCGTCGTCTGAAAGCATTCGATCTGCCTCAAACCACCAAGGGCAAACGTGCCCAAGTGTGGGCATCCCCCCGTCCTCCTCCATTTGAAAGGAGCAGCCGCTGCAAGCACAAGCAGAACCCGAGCCCCTGCTCCGATCCAGGATTTTGGCATTCTCAGCGACAAAGATCCTCCTCGATCCACAGGTGGTTTTTTTTTTGTTGTTGTTGTTGTTGTCAAGCCCAAGTCACGGGATTTTTAAAAAAAGCACCCAGAGAAACCTCAGCTCCAAAGGTGTGGCAGCACCTTTCCGCAAAGGAACGTTATGTGGCAAACCGTGCCCTCTGCAACGAGAGCCACAGCCAAATCACGCTGCTGAGACCACGTCAGTAAATCAGCGATCCTCCCCGTCTCGGTGCAAGAGTTGCAAAGATGTTGTAAGAGAACAACGAGGCAGCAAAACCAGCGCCTTCTCTCGCGCTCCTTCTGTTGACACAGGGCTGCGAACAGCCTTCCTGAAGAGATGGATGCGCTCCAATATTTGGTTTAGCAGGAGAGAATGGGGGAACAAGACACACAGCCTCTGTTTTCCTCTCAGAAATGACCCGGCAAGCCACGTATTAATAATTTGAACAACTATTTCAGGCAGGACTCAGAATCGTACTCCTTTTTAAAATCAACACCTGCTTCACCAGAATCAGATGGCCGCGGGCATCCTCCCGTTCCACGTAAGCGAGTGATTCCTGCCCTTCTGACGAGGTTTCCTTAAACAGAGGAGGGTTTAGCGCACTTCCATGAAGGCAATTAACTTTGTGCTCGGTAACGCCAGGCCGTTCTACCCCACATCAAGTTCAACTGAGAATCGTAACTAGCGAGATTTCTTTTTCTCTCTCTTTCTTTTTAATATTATCGCCATGTGGATAATGAATAAGCCAAGGCACTTAAAGCGAGGAGACTATCACGTCACCTCCTAGGCCTCAGTGTATTAACAGTTTATTTGTAACTGAAAGCCGCCTAGACACTGTGTCTACACCCCGACCTTTGCATTCGCCCTGGATTTTCACCCCGATAATCAGACAGGCATCTCCTCAAGCACTCCCTACCTTAACCCTGGATTTAGCTGGAAAAAGCAGGATTTAGGTAAGCGATCTCCAACGGCCCCACGCACCTCTGCACGGCCAGACCTTTCAAAGCGCATCCTCGAAGGATCGACTGCAGCAACGTATATGTGTACATGTGTATAGGGAGACAGTACGTGTAGTTGTGTACCAGACGTTGACCTACTTGCTTCCGCGCAAAGGTAAAAACAAATCTCGTCTCCTCCTGCACAGACACGGTCACGACATCCCCCAACGGCCACGCGAGCAGTAACGACATGCAGAACAGGCGTGTTCTGCGAAACGCTAAAGAACGGGAGGGGGAATCGTAAGGCACATCGGTCACTCAGAAGAACCGCTCAACATTGTACAAATTCAGCAGCGTTTTTCTCGTGTTATTTGTCAGCGTAACCTCGTTACCTGTATCTGTGTACATCTGCTGCCTGCTCTCTGCAGCCAGAGAGTCTGGAGAGGTTTCTCCCATCCACTTGCTGACAAACTACACCAAAGTCCTGCGATACTATTGACCGTGCCAAGGCTGATGGGAAAAACCCAGAGCTGTAACCCCCCCGAGCAACAATCCCTGTGTTATTTTCTCTGACGTACTCTCCCCGTGCTACGCTCCAGCTCTTTGACCATCCTACCCTTTCCACAGAGTTTCGTCGCAGCTCCGCGTAGCTGGCCACAGGGGCAGGGGCCAGCACACCCGGACCCTGCCCCGCACCAGTTATACAAGAAATAACCGAGCGCCGAGGCGACGCTAACACGGGAGGAGATCTCTCCTGCGTGACAGTTCCGTCGCCTCCCACACCTTTCCCATCCCTCTCTTTCCTGCTGCTTGGATTCTCACTAATGATGTTTCTTTGCAGATGAAGGACTGTACTGTACAAAGCAAACTCTGCAGACAACTCTGCACATCGACCGGTATACGGCTTCTTGAAAAGTAACACCAAACTGTTGAGCGTTAGCACTTCGGCACCTTTTTAGGCACACGAAGTACATTAGAAGTAGACATATTCCGCAAGCATCTGCAGACTTAGATGAAAAATGCAAACAAGAGGTCTTTGTAAAGTTCAAAAACACTGCCTGCCTTGTAACCGCTCCTCCAATTTATAATCTCTGCCGTTGAAGGGTGGCTTTCAAGGAAGGTCACTGGCCACGTGAAAGCAAGCCGCCTATCCAGGAAACCATTTACATAAGTAATACGGCTCCTAACGTGCTGCGAAACACCAAGGCTCCAACAGCCCCTTCAAAGAAACAGCCTACGTGGAAATGGCAAAAACAAGAAGTTACTTCCAACGACGCCTGGAATCCGCTCCAGAAAAACGACTTCAACGTGCTAAGGGAACTCAAGGAAAAGGCAGGCGCGTCGCAGACCGCTTCGGTGGCCCCTCATGACACAGCAAGACAACGCAACCAGGGAGGGAGCCCCATAACCCACGTCCAGACGGGGTTTCTGCAGCGCTACCTGCAAAAACCCTCGTGCGATCAAATATTTAACACACGCTCCAGACCCGAGCTGGAAAGAGGTTACTTCTAGCTGCTCGTTCTAAAGCCACTCTGTGAAATTCATCTCATGACAATCCTCCGTATGACTCGAGAGAGTCACTCGGAGCGATTCAGGGAAACACCGTTCACAGCACGTTGCTCAATAGCTCGGTTCCGCAGCTCGGAAACCCGGCCGTGTTTGTGCAATGAGCCGCACGTGCTCAAGGACGGGTAATTTATTCCCTCGAGCACAGCCCGCATACTGCCGAGACCGCTGAACTCCAGAAAACAATTTCATTGGGACGGGCAAAAACATTTTTCTAAATCAACACGTAAATATGCCAACAGGTCTGACCCGTGTTTGCAGACGCCAAGAATAGCTGCAAAAACACATGCACGAGGAAGACAACGGGTGGGTGTACACAGGGAGGCAGAGTGTTTACCGCTCGGGAAAGCCGGGACCAGAGGAGCTGGCATAAGTCACGTAAGAGTCTTGTTTTCCTGCAGTCACTCAGCCGAGTCATTTATCAACTCCTGGGGTAGCTGCAGCCTTCGTCCAGGGGCAAAACTTTCCCTTCGCCTGGGAAAGATTCCCTCTCCCTCCTGTCCTTCCTCCCCTCAACTCCAGTACTGAAGCAGAGATCAAAGCTTAGGCAGAGGTGGGACAGAGAGACTGGAGTCTGCGATTTCCCTGATCTACACGAGGGAAACCACTCCAGGTAACGCCTGCCAGGGAAAGGGAGAGAAGCGCACGAGTAGGATGCGCGCAGGAGCTCTCCTGTGCCTTTCAAACACGGCCGGCTGCAGGAGCAACAGCCACCCCAAAGTCCAAAAGCCTCTTGACGGCGGCGGGTGTCAGCCGCCTAACACGGCCAAAGAAGGTGCTTGTAATTAAGGAACCCCGTTTAGGATTTTAACAAGGCCTTGGAGCTGCCCTACAGCTACTATTAGTTCCTCGGGAAGTAACAGGCTCGCAGCGTGCTTCTGAACACTTGGACAAGCGCCCGTTCCGCGGGTGCCCCTCGTTTACTTCCATCAAGCTGTTGAACATCGCAGCTGGGGCTCCAGCTTTTAGGCCAGGGCAG